CAGATTGTTTTGATAATTACTGCTTGAAAATACAGTTTAACATCTGGTATGGCTAGATTGCATTTCTTCACACTTTTTTTCATTGATTTCCTTGATCTTTTGTTCTTCTAGATGAATTTTGTTATTATTTTTCTAGCTCCATAAAATAATTTTTGATAGTTTCATTGGTATGGTACGGAATAGATAGATTAATCTAGGTAGAATTGTTATTTTTATTATATTGGCTTGGCCTACCCATGAGTAATTAATATATTTCCAGTTGTTTACATCTGATGTTATTTGTGTGAAAGTGTTTTGTAGTTGTGTTCATTTAGTTCCTGGGTTTGTCTTGGTGGATAGACTCTTAAGTATTATATATTATCTATAATTATTTTAAATGAAATTGCTCTTTCTATCTCTTGCTGCAAGACTTTGTTGGTAATATGTAGAATGCTAATGATATATATATATATATATATGTATATATATATATATATATATATATATGAGCTTATTTTGTATCCTGCAACTTTGCTAAAGTTGTTAATAATTTCAAGTAGTTTTTAGTTGATTTTCTAAGATTCTGTAGGTACAACATCGTATCATCTGCAAAGAGTGAAAGTTTTGTTTCCTCACTGCCTATTCTAATTCTTTCATTTTCTTTTTCTTCTCCCATTGTTATAGCTAATATTACTAGTATAATATTGAGTAGTAGAAGTGATAATAGGCATCTTTGCTTCACTCCAACTATATTGGGAAGGCTTCTAGCTTATCCCCATTCCTGATAATGATTGCTGATGGTTTTAGATAAATATTACTTAGCATTTTAAGGTAAGCTCCTACCTTATTCCTACACTGTCTAGTGGTTTTTTGTTGATTTTGTCTAGTGTTTTTAATGCGAATGGGTGCTGTATTTTGTCAAAGGGTTTTTCTGCAACTCTTGAGATAATCATATGATATCTGTTGGGTTTTTTATTGATATGTTCAATCATGCTAATAGTTTTCCTAACATTGAAGCAGTCCTGCAATCCTGGTGGACATCCTAACGGGTCATAGTGTACGATCCTTGTGCTGTATTGCTGTAATCTCTTTGCTAGTATTTTATTTAAAATGTTTGCATTGATATTCATTAGGGAAGTTGGTCTATACTTTCCTTTTTGTGTTTTGGCTGTTCTTGGTGTAGGTATTAGCACCATATTTGGGCCATAAAAGGAATTTGGTAGGGCTCCTTCTTTGCCTATTTTCCCAAATAGTTTATGTTTGGTAGAATTTGCTTGTGAATCCATCTGGCCTAACAAAGTGTGTTATACAATGTAATGGGCTATTACTGTGCCATAAGAAAAAATAAATGTGAAAAATTAAGAAAAAAAAACTTAGCAAGAATTAAAAGAATTGATACAGAATGAAGAAAGCAGAGTGAGAGGAGGAAAAATATATAACTATAGCATTGTGTGGGGAAAGAACAGAAAAAAACAACTACAAGCCATGTAATTGTTATGACCAAGCTTGTCTCTGGGAATGAGGAGAGAAAATATATTTTCTTTTCTTTATGGTGGCATGGAACTTGGGCAATGGAACAGTTTATGTACTTTCAGACTGAAGTGGTATTCTGGTTATTTTTGCTGAACTGCTTTTCTTCTTCTATTTTAGTCTTAGTTATAAGGATGTCTCACTGGGCTGGGGAAGGAGGAGGGATTTATTCAGATATAAACATTCAAAAGTTATCAATGATTTTAAAAGCCTACTGCAATAGTGCAGGTCAGAGGTAATTAAGTCCTGAACTAGGGTGGTATGTGGATAGGTAGAAAGAAGGGGCCATGGGATTGAGTGAAGTTGTGGAAGTAGAAGAGATGCTTGATAAATTCTTGGCTGGAGATGGGGTGGGGTGGGGTGCAGGAATTAGGGGAAAAATTGAAAATGACACCAAGGTTGCTATTCTGGGTAACTGGAAGGATGGTGATGCCCTCAACAGGAATAGAGAAGTTAGGAGGAGGTTAGATTTAGGGGGAAAGATGATAAATTGTGTTGAGTTTGAGATACCTTAGGGACATTCTGTTGAAAATGCCCAATAGGCAGTTGATGATGCAGGCCTCAAGCTTGAGAGAGAATGGGATAAACTAAGATCACAGCCTGTTCCAAACATCAACCTATTCTGGGGAATAGTGGAACAGGAAAACTAGAACTCCTACATAAGAGTACAGAGCCCCTAAGGCTAGAGGGATGCTCTCCAATAAGGACAGCATGGAGAAACACTTTCCCAGTGGGACAGTGCCAACTGATTAAAAGGAGGCTTGTAAAGAATTCACTGACCCCATATATGAGAGAGAGAGAAAGAGAGAGAGAGAGAGAGAGAGAGAGAGAGAGAGAGAGAGAGACAGAGAGAGAGAGAGACAGAGACAGAGACATAGAGAGAGAGACAGAGACAGAAAGAGAGACAGAGACAGAGAGAGAGGGGAGGGAGAGATGAGAGGAGAGATGAGAGGAGAGACAGAGAGAGACAGAGAGACACACACACACACATAGAGAGACAGAGACAGAAAGAGAGACAGAGAGAGAGAGACAGAGAAAGAGAGACAGAGACAGAGAGACAGAGAGAGAGAAGAGAGGGGAGAGGAGAGAGGAGAGGAGAGAGAAAGAGAGAGACAGACAGACATAGAGACAGAGACAGAAAGAGAGAGACAGAGAGAGAGAGAGAGACAGAGAGAGAGAGAGAGAGAGAGAGAGAGAGAGAGAGAGAGAGAGAGAGAGAGAGAGAGAGAGAGAGAGAGAGAGAATAATTTGGTTCTTCCTTCAAGCAAAGGTTGAATGACCTTTTTTTCCCCATGTGATATAAAGGGGATCTTTTTTTTCAGGTTGGTCTAAATGGCTTCTGAGAGTCTTCTAATTCTGTATGTAGACTGTCATTCTGTGGCTCCACGGGGTGTAGTTTCCTGAACTGAGTCTGAAAAAGGCCTTTGCTATGGGAACACCTGTTGAAAGAGCGCCGTATACCCATCTTCTCCTCTTGCCTCATTTGGAGAATATGTTGTGTCCCAAACCCCTCTGCTAACCTGCTCTTTCCCAGTGCACCCCTACTTGAACCAACTCCACTAATGTGTTTATCTTGATGAGTTTCAGATGTGAGGAGAAAGCTACAAGGAATTCTTTTCTTTTTGTACAGATGTACAGAATCTGACCAAGGCTCAAGGCAGGGCAGCACAGGATCGGAGAACCGAGAGAAGCTTTCTTGGGACAAGGTCTGGCTTGTTGACCCAGGGGCTTTGTCCTCACTCCGCTTGACCCCTCCAAACTCTGTGCTCTAGTAGCCCATCTTCTAGGGTCTCTGCTTTTTCATTTTCAGGGAACAACTAGGTAACCTGATAAATAAGACCAACTGCCTTCATTTCTAAGTAGCATTTGTCTATGAGACAACGATCAGCTTCTGTTGTTAGACTACCAGAGGAGTGACTTCTTGGCAGTCAGACTCCAGTAGGAGACTCTTATCTGTGTTAGGATGGAAGGGGTTGGGGGCTGATATCTCTCATGTGCTGGACCAGTTCTTCCTGAACTTCCTGGTCCCTCCGACCAGTGTGGAGATGGTGACCTTGGATTAAAGTTACCATGGCAGACTCCCAGGCAAAATTCTTTTGGTATCTTATCCCCAGTTTAGAAACATGCTTGTATGATTTTTTTCCCCAGATGGGTGCTATTTGTTTTAAATAGAAATTCACATGAAACCTGGTACCAAAGCAACAACCTCAGAAAGATGGGACTAGTGCCCCCCCTTTCCTGGGTACCTTTTATGCAGAGACAGAAAAAGACTTGAATGAAAAGTACGAGCTACAGTAAAGGTTGTAAGGGAGGAGGTACTAATGTTGGCAATACATGCTGGCACACCAGATGAGAACAAAGTTCATGCTGGCACATTTCAGGTGGAACAGATTTGGTTTATACAATATTGAGATATGAATGACAGGTTTATCTGCATTTTGTAATTCCCAGTAGATTGAACCCCCAGTTCTACAAGGAAAAACTCACAAAAAGAAAACCATCACCCATTCTCCTCAGCAAATGTCATGATAGGACTTCCATAAAACAAATTGCTATCATCCCTTACTGCCATGTCCCCAGTGGGTGATGGGAAGAGAAGCCTAAGTTAAACAGGGCTGCAGAGAGGTATGGGTATGAGGTAAGCCAGCCTGTGTCATTATCCACAGATTGCAAGTTTGCCAGTACTCTTGGCTAACTTTGGATAACAGATTTAGAGCTTGCCAGACACCTTAGGTGCTATTGAGTCCAATTTTTTAATTTTACAGTGGAGGAAACTGAGGTATAGAGTTGATATGCATTTTGCCCAGGGTCACACAGCTAGTAGCTGGCCAAGTTGAGATTTGAACCTAGGTATTCCTGACTCCAGGCCCAATACCACATTGCTTCTTATTTTAAGTCGAACTATAATCACCAATCTGGATGTTAGGAGACCTGGGTTCAAATCTGGATTCTGTGACTCAGTCTCACCAGCTATGTGTGGCTCTTTGAGAATCATTGCTGCTCTCTGGGCCTCCTTTTCTTCATCTGGTCCCCAAGGCATAAACGCTACAGTTATTATTTGATTCTATACAGTATCAGCTTTGAGCTGTAGAACAGGACAGGTGGATTCCAAATGACGGGATGGATGAAATGACCACAATTAGGCCTCCAAGTGTGATCTAAAGGTGTTCAATTGTCCCTGGGCATTTTTGTTGCTTTAAAGGTTTCAGATAATCCTTGAACAACAAAGACTCAGTGTTCCAGTAAGCATATCACTCAGAGCCCTAGGTTCTGGTCTCCCCTCTGTCACTTAGGAGCTGTTCAGCTCTCTGGACTCCTGTTAAGAGGAGGAAATGATATTAACCACACAGCTAGCATTTATAGAGAGCTTTGAGCTTTGGAAAATGCCTTAAAAATACTGTCTTATTTCATCATCACAACAACCCTGGGAGGTAGGTGCTATTATTATCCCCACTTGACAGATGAGGACCATTAAATGACTTGACCAGGGTTACACAGCTAGGAAGTGTCAGAAGACCGATTGCAACTCAGATTTTCCTGACTTCAGGTCCAGCACTTTATCCACTGTTACACTTAGTTGCTTCTAGGAAGTGGCTTGACCTACTTCTAAGGTCCCTTTTAATCTTAACATTCCGTGAAAACCATCGGCACCCCCCCGCAAAAATGTACTCCTTTCAAAAGCAGTAGGAGTCAGAATGGAAACCTGGCAGAAATGATGGGTCCCGGGCAGTCCTAGCATCTCTCCAGGGGTCCCACTGCATTCATTTGGACAGGGCCAGGACCAGAATCCAGGCAAAGGGCAGAAGCTACAAGTCTGAGTCACAGGGTAGTGTGGAAGTGGAGCCAGGGTGCGGGCCGCTGCTTTCCTCCCCCTTCAGTACATCCTCCGGGTTCGTGTAGGCTGCTGGCCGAGGCATCCTGAAGCCTACCCGGGGCTTAGGGCCACCCTGGGGCTGAAGCCGACCCTGGGTGCGCTGGGACAAGATCGACGGAAAGGTGGGAGCTTCGGGCCATTGGATCGGCACTGTGTTAAGGCTGCTGTGGCGCGGACTGGGGTACGCCTTACGGCGACGGGCGCATTCTTCGCAGACCAGGGCGAAGCTGAGTGCCAGGGAGAAGCCCCCCACCAGCAGTAGGCAACTGCCCAGGAAGCCGAGCACTACGCTGTAGCCAACCCGCAGCTGGACCGGGCTGGGCTCCGCAGGCAGCACGGTGCGGTTCTGCAGGACGTGGGTGTACCAAGCCACCGGGATGAGGCCCAGGAGGCCGGCGACAAAGAGCACGAGGCCCGAGGCTCCTGCTAGCCAGGCGCGGGGCGTCCGGCGCCAGCAGCGCACGCCCAGCGAGGCCATCAGCAGCCCCACGGCCGAGGTGGCCAGCCCCGTGATAGTCAGAGCGCGCGCCGCCTGCACCGGCTCAGCCGTGTAGTACCCCAGCTGGTCGGGGATCCCGCACAACCTGACTTGACTGCTCTGCTCTCTACACGTGTCCCACAGTCCCTGGGTCACCACCACGTCCACCGGCTGATCAAGGAAACCTGTCTTCTGCCGCCAGCCCGGCGTCAGGGTGCAGATCAGGCACAGGAGCAAGCCGCAGGGGACCAGCACCAAGCCCAGGGTCATGACCACGGGCGTCCTCATCTCGGCTGACGGGTGGCTGCTGAGCCCCTCACTTGGGCGGGAGGAAGTCTGGCCAAGCCTGAGAAATCCAGTGGATGACAATGTGGACCCCTCAGTGCCGGCGTCTCCGTCTAGCTCCTCTGTCTCTCTGTCCCTCGTCCCCCTCGGTTGTCTCCACCCTTACGGGGGCCGGTGCGCCCCTGGCACTGAAGTGCCTCTGGCGATCGGAGCGCCCTAATCAGGGCGATCTGGCTCAGCCCTTAGCTGCTCCGCGCCTCCCACCTCCTTCTCCTTCTCGTCCTCAATCTCTCCCTTCTATTCAGCCTCTCGCCCATCCCTCTGCTCGACTTCCTACACTACAAAGCTCCGCCCGTCGCTAAGCGAAACCAGAGCCCTGGCAGTCTCACCGAAACTGTACTTGCTCCAGAGTCCGCCCGGCCGGGAAGGGGCTGACCCTGTAAGGGCCAAACAGGAAGCAGCCACCCGGCCCTCGCTTGGTCCAGCCCCGCCCTTGCTTGCTCCTCCCCCCGGCCTTGGACAAAGGTTGAGGCCAGAGCTGGTGAGAGGGAGAGGACTAGGAGAGTGTGCTGCATCTGGCAGTGCACCTGTTCCTGATCCAGTCCTCCAGTCCGTGGGGCCGGGGCAGCCTCGTAGGCTACATCTGCCCACCCCCACCACTGCCCACTGCCCACTGCCCTGAGTGTAGCGCATGCAGGGCCCTGCCTCTCCGGGTATCTTATTTACCCTCGAGGAATTATCTGGAAATCTTTTGGCTTCATAGAGTCAGGTACCTTTTCTCCCTCCCCGTGCTCTTCCTTACTGCTAAGTTGGGGGTGGAGAGGGCCGGAGGTGGGTGAAGAATTCAAAAAAATCTCTACGAGTTCAAGTGTTTCTTTTAAAAAAAAATTGTCACAGAATGTAGCTTTTAGCCGATCTCTTTGGATCTCTAAGTCTGGTTCAAGTGGAACGACTGCTGGAATGTCATAGCTAGAAATAATAATAGCCCACATTTCTATAGCACTTTAAAAAACTTCACTGCCTCCTTTGAACCGCAAAGCTACCCTGGGGAATCCTGGAGTTGATTGCTTCCAGTGGCCAAATGGATCCGCAATTCACGCCTCTCTTTCCGCACAGTGCTCTAAGTGAATCACAAACGCCCAGTACGCTTGGTACTTCCTTGTTCAGTATTCTAATCAGAGTCTGAGAGAGGAAGACCATCAGATGTTGTGCTTGTGAAGCTTGGGAAGGATGGCTGACTTTTAATGACAGAATTAGCATCCAAAAATATCTTTCTGTGCTGGAGTAATGGACCAAATAAAATAAGATAAAATTTAAGAGGGATAAATATAAACTCATACCTTTTTTTTAAGTGAAGATAAAGGCAGGGAAAGAAAGGAAAAAGAAAAGTTGCACAGCATTTCTTAGTATAAGAGATAGCTGTCCTTGGAGGGCAAGAGAGCATCATATTTAGAAATAATCATGATATAAAAAGATAATAGTGATTATTGCAGCTAACATTTATTTAGCAAGATTTGCAAAGCAATTCCATGGGTTTGTTAACACATTTTATCCTCATGACAACCCCAGTGGATAGGTGCCATTATAATCCTCCTTTCACAGAGGAAGAAACTGAGATACAGGAGGTTTAAGTGACTTAGTCTTTGAGGTAGGATTTGAACTCATGTCTTCCTCACTTAAAGGCCTGCACTCTATTCACTGATGCATGGTGTTGTTCAGTCCTGTTTGACTCTTCCTGACCCCTAAAGACACTGGAGTGGTTTGCCATGTCCTTCTCCAGCTCATTTTACAGATGAGGAAACTGAGGCAAACAGGGTTAAATGACTTTTCCAGGGTCACACAGCTAGTAAGTGTCTAGAGGACATATTTGAACTCAAGGAAACTAGTCTTCCTGACTCCAGGCCCAGCTCTCTATCCGCTTCATCACCTAGCTGCCCCCTGCCTTTATCTTAACTTAAAAAAAGGTATGAGTTTATATTTATCCCTCTTAAATTGAAAATACAAATAAAATTGGATTTAAAAAATCCTCTTTAAACAGAAAGAAAAATGAATTCAGTCAATTTATCAGCAATGTCTGCAGAGTATGTGATGTCCCACACCAGTAGTTCCCTGTCTCTGCAAAGAAGGAAGATTTCATCTCCTCTCTTCGTTGAGGATGAGCTTCATCACTTAGTGGCACCTTACACGAACTGCCTTCCTACCTCAGCACTTACAGATTTGCACCCTGGCCCCAGGAGGCTAACTCCTAAAGGTTCTAAGAGCTCCCTATATGGCTCTCTAAAGCTATAAAGATCCCTTATACAATTAGCTCAAACCAAAGGCATTTACTAAAATCAACTAATAAGGCCAGGAGCTCCGACTCTTTCCACCCTGCACTGTAAACCTGGGTGCATTCTGACAAATGCACAACATAGCAGAGAAAACAGCGGGCATCAGTGTAAGGAATGCTCATGGTGGGGCGTGTGTAGGGAGCCCAGGGACAGTGCACCAAAGCACTCTGGTTGTGCAGGACCCCGGGTCTTCTTCTTCTGGTGTGCTCTGAATGCTCCCCCTGTGGGCAGAACTCTGCTGGGTAGGTTGCTAAGCTGGCCTCCCTGGGTTTGCTCCTCTCCACTGCCAGGCCTGGTTCTCCCTTGAATCTAGTTTGCTAGCCCTCTTTCCTCCTCCTGGAGGAGGAGGAGGCTTGCTACCTAAAACCTCCACTGCCACTATGTGTTTATGGATCTCCAGAGTGGGAGTTCTTTTTGCCTGCTGGATGCAGTGCCACCTACTGGACTCTGCAAGCCTCATAGCTGATGGGCTGCTGTTTAGCCATTTTCCATCCTGTCCAACTTTTCATGACCGCATCGGGGGTTTTGTTGGCAGAGACACTGGAATGGTTCGCCATTTCCTTCTCCAGTTCATTTGGAGTTCATGAGGAAACTGAGGCAAACAGGGTGAAGTGACTTGCCCAGGGACACATGGCTAGCAAGTGTCTGAGGCTGGATTTGAACTCAGGAAGATGAGTCTTCCTGACTCCAAGCCTTGCCCTTCATCCACTGTGTCACCTTGATGCCCTAGCTGATGGGAAGGAAATGGAGAAAACCCCTTGCCCCTTGCTGCCTTCTGAGGTGGGGGTCTCACTCTGCATAGCTCTCTCTAAGCAGTTCAGCTCACAAAAATATCAATCAGGACTAACGGTTTGTCTTTTAAATGCCACACAGGGTAGGATCAGTATTTTTTTTCCCCCTAGCCAAAGGTCAGTTTTCTTTGTGATTCAAAGAACTTCATATTTTTAATAAACAGATGACAAGGTACAGACATATCCTTGCATCATTCCATTCCTGGCTGTCCATCCAGCTTTCTGCAATCCAGTAGCCTCTGCTACAGTCTCACCCTGGAACCTCTCCCAGTGCCCAGGTTCTCCTCACAACTGAACATCCATCTGCCCAGCTGGGCCTCTTCTCCAATTGCTGGATTCCTCCCAGGGTTTCTGTCTTGGGGAATGACTGAGGTGGGCCAAACTTCATTCCCCTACCCCCACCCCAGCTGTGCTTCTGGCTTTCTGAAACTCACCAACATGTCCCCATGCAGCTAACTTCACCTCTTACCATTTTCAACCCCCTGGGGGAGGGGTGTCTTCCTCCATTAGAATGTAAGCCCCTTGAGGGTAGAGACAGTCTTTCTCTTTGTTCCTATTAGTATGCCCAGTGCTTACCACAGTGCTTGGTGCTAGATAAATGTGCCTTGCCTAGCCCTTCATTAGCAAATTCATACTTTATTGCTTTAGTTATCTGACCCTTTTATCAGCTGGAGGAGGCAACATATAGAGAAATGGTCTTGGACTCAGGGACACCTGGGGTTCAATAACATGTTTACATCTCTTGGATGTGTGATCCTGGGCAAGTCATTTAACCTCTCAGTGTGCCAGGCAAGTAGTAAGACAGTAAATAGCAAAAAAAAAAAAAAAAGATCTACTGCACTGTAAGGAATGATGAGCTCAATGATCTTAGAAAAACTTGGAAAGACTTGCATGAAGTAATGAACAGTGAAATGAGCAGAACCAAGAGAACACTGTATACAGTAACAGAATATTTTTCTAAGGATGACTTTCAGTGACTAATATCAATCACCCCCTAGATTCCCCAGGGTCACTTTGAGGTTCAGAGGAGAAAGTGAGGTTTTTTAGAGTGCTACATTAGTATTTCTAGCTATGACATTCTAGGAGTTGTTCCATTTGAACCAGACTTAGAGATCCAAAGAGATCCATTAAAAGCTATATTCTGGGACAACTTTTTAAAAGAAATATTTGAACGTGTAGAGATTTTTTTGAATTCTTCACCCACCTCCGGCCCTCTCCACCCCCCAACTTAACAGTAAGGAAGAGCACGGGGAGGGAGAAAAGGTACCTGACTCTATGAAGCCAAAAGATTTCCAGATAATTCCTCGAGGGTAAATACAATACCTGGAGAGGCAGGGCCCTGAAATGGAATTTATATTTCATATAGTCAACAAAACACATAGAAATGGGGACTTCACCAAATTGGCTAAAGAGAGAATAAAAGATTCAAATTCAGGGCATGGCCAAATAGTTCAAAGCTTTTTTCTTGCCCCAGATGTTTTCTTATATGGGTTTGTATCTCATAGTTTGAGTGACTATTATAAATATACAAATTAAAGATAAAGGACATATGAAGAAAGATGGTATCTGTATCCAGAGAAAGAACTGATAAATAGAAGTTTGTATAGAATAATTTTACACCAGTATACCTGTTTGTGTCTAATGGTAGCCCTCTAGGGTGGGGGGGGGGAGAAAAAATAAATTTACGTGATAACTTTATTATACATTTAAAAGCAATAGCAAGTTATACATAATAGATGTGCAGTTTCATGTGCAATTATCTTTTTTATTATACTATGTTATATAAAAAATGAAAATGCTCATCTAGAAGGGAAATTTCTCAATGAAACAATATATCTTGGGCTAAAAAATAGTTACTGGGTATATTGTTTTTGCAGCTTTTGCTTACTTTGCACTAGTTCATATACATCTTCCCATGTTTCTATGTGTTCTTCATATTCATCATTTTATGTTTCAGTAACAATTCAGTATAATCAGTTTTCAGAATTTGTTTAGCCACGCCCAAGCTGATGGTTGTCCATTATGTTTCCAGTTCTTTGCAACAACAAAAAGGGCTGCTATGAATATTTTGTTATCTATAGAAGCAGCAAGTTACCATGAAGGAGAGACAGGAGGTAGTGTGTTCTGGGCAAGTCAACCCCGCCCCCTTCAATTACCACCTTCTCAGATCCTGATGGAAATAGCCCAGGACTCTGAACCTAAAAGTCCCAGTCTACAAACCACCAACCTTACTTCTTGCCTGGACTCCAGAGCCATCATTGAGGGCAGCAATCCTTGTGGAGAAGGATGAAAGAAGGCAGCCTAACAGTACCAGATTTCAAACTACATTACAAATTGGCAATCATTAAAACAATTTGGCAATGGCTAAGAAATGGAGTGGTGGATGAGTAGAATAGATTAGTTACACGATGCACAGTATTAAATGACCATAGTAATCTAGTGTTTCACAAACCCAATGATTTGAGCTTTGGGGACA